TGCGGTCTTGGGGAGGGTATGACATAAATGGGATTCACAACCACGTGGTCTTGGAAAGGGTATGACATAATTGGGATTCACAACCATGTGGTCTTGGAAAGGGTATGACATAAATGGGATTCACAACCATGCGGTCTTGGAAAGGGTGTGACATAAATGGGATTCACAACCACGTGGTCTTGGAAAGAGTATGACATAAATGGGATTCACAACCATGCGGTCTTGGAAAGGGTGTGACATAAATGGTATTCACAACCATGTGGTCTTGGAAAGGGTGTGACATAAATGGGATTCACAAACACGTGGTCTTGCAAAGGGTATGACATAATGGAATTCACAACCATGCGGTCTTGGAAAGGGTGTGACATAAATGGTATTCACAACCATGTGGTCTTGAAAAGGGTGTGACATAAATGGGATTCACAAACACGTGGTCTTGCAAAGGGTATGACATAATGGAATTCACAACCATGCGGTCTTGGAAAGGGTGTGACATAAATGGGATTCACAACCATGTGGTCTTGGAAAGGGTGTGGCATAAATGGTATTCACAACAATGTGATCCTGGAAAGGGTATGACATAATTGGGATTCACAATCATGTGATCTTGAGAAGGTGTAACAAAATGGGAGAGACTTGTTGGGGCAAATGAGTCTTATCCAAATAACAAGGAATAAAGACCCATTAAAGGGTGATAGTCATACCGTGTCCTGTTTGATATATGACTCATAGCGACGTTAACAAAACAATACATCGTTTGTTCACATTTAAATCGAACACGTGCTGTGTGACGACCACTGCCCTTTAATTCGTGATATTGAGTAAATTAGTAATAAAATAATTCTAAGGATTGGGGACTGGGAAGCAATTCTAGTTTCTTCTCCTCGACCAATTCATACCTTCAAAAGTCCGGTCAGCTGTTCGTCATTGAAAGAACGCATTTTGTCACGCGATTTTGTGATGTCACTGAAGGGTAACATAATAATGACCCAGACAAAAATGAAAAGACTACGATTCGAATGTTCTGTGTTGCAACAAGTATACATGGGTGATATAATTATAAAAACCCTTAATTCATAATTAACGAAAAATGACAATTGCAAACAAATCATGTATTGAAATTATGCAAAAAAATAAAACGTAAGCTTCAAATAAATGAAAATTGCGAATACAATCAAATATAGCGGACACGAAACCATTAATAAATAATACAATCAAATATAGCGGACACGAAACCATTAATAAATAATACAAATGTCCATTCCCTACAGTTTCCATCAACTTATAAAATAAAGTTTTTGAAAAATTAAAAAAAAAACACATTGATCATTAACATTCATTTGACAGGCAAAATTGTACAAATCTGTTCAATTTTGATTGGAAATTACCAGTAAATTACAAAATAACCGTAAATAATCAGTATGTGGCTACAATTTCGGGACTGCTATCTTTCATTTCGATAAAGTTTTCACACAGGCACTTTCTTTTTTCTGGCTGAACCTGCTGAAAATGTGTTAACACCACATTTACATATACGCCTAAAAAATAATGCAGGACATTCGTAGCTAATGTGTGCTATAGCGTAATTCTCCAAATATCGTCTGAGTATTGTCTGACTAACGGTTTCGCGAGCACGCCATCAACGGCAAATTTAGTCGAGAAAGCGACATCGTCGTCTATTAGCGCTCGTTCGAAGTTATGGCAAACCATAATCCCTCTAGATAGAGGGACTGTGGGCAAACTAACAATCTTACAAACGCATAGATGTTACTCTGAGGAAATTACACTTATTACCGAAATAATGAAAAAGAATAATTACAGAAATTCACCGTGACATGACAGTTACTTTCAAATTGCAGTTGCTGATGGACCGTGACCCGCTCTTACTACTAGTCTTCCAACACAAGATTTACAAATTAAAATTCACCCTAAATTCCTGCACTACAGTAGACATCTTTTTCAATTTCAGGTCAATCTTGACTTTATTAGTTTGATGTTGGCTATATTCCAAACACGGTTCTAATTTATGGGTTTCCATGTGGTCACTAAGAGCCTCGGGTGAACAAAAACACTCTCCGCATTTCTGACAGGTGTACGGGTTTACTTTGTGTGTTTCAACACGACGAATATGATTATTGTTTTCAGAGTAGCCCTGTTCACACCAATGGCGTTGATACAGTGCTTCCTTTCTCAAATGTATTGACCGGCGTACTGACCCAGTATTCAAATGTGTGCGTAGATAGTCTTGCGTTGAAGAACAATTCTGGTTATCATGACGCGAGTTAAAATTGTGTTTCTGCTCTATCATATGTTGTTGAAGGTTGGCCGATTTTCGAAATTTCTGGCTACAATATTCGCATTTATACGTTTTCCCACGCTTCTGTAATTTGATGCATATATGCCAGTCAAAATAGTCACGTTTTGTAAAATATTTGTCGCAGTTCTTACAGTGGACTGGACCCATATTCTTGTTGTCGTCATATTTTCGCCCTTTCTCGTCGTCTTCGGTGTAATCTTTCACGTATCCATCATTATATACATCGTCTTGGACAATGTTCTCAAATTGTTCATCGGTGACCGTCTCTCCGTATTGGTTCACTACAGGTACGTTGCGTCGGAAGTTATACCGATCAGAAAGTCGCGCAGTGCTATATTTGATTTCTTCTGTTCGCATGTGTGAATGAGTATATGAATCTTCTACATCACCCCCAATATATGACGTGTTCATGTGGTCAGCGTAGAGAATCTTCAGGCTAGGGAAGCTTTGTTTTTTGGGTCTCCCTGAAATTCTATGTTCTTTACCCACATGTTTCGCAAGAGTGCCCTTACTCTTAAAACTATGTCCACACATTTTACATGAATGTGATATGTTCTTTTTCAATTTCTTTTTGAGAGAGGAATTCTGTTCGTTTTCTTTATTTAGTTTGTAAAATTTTAGTAGAATTTCCTGTATATGTTCCCATGTATGATCGATGAGGGCGTCACACGAGTCGAATATGCTTCCACAGACTAAACAGCGAAATTTGTGTGATATTTTTTCAGTCTGTCCGGGCGCTCGTTTATTCACATATTTTCTTTTAAGACGTGGTTCGATACAAATTTGTTTAGTGTGCAGCTTGGCTTGCACGGTTGCGTTATTACACGGAATTGAGGTGTCCAGGCGAACTGTCTGATTGTGTCTCTTTCTGCCCTTGTTTGTGTTGCTATGATGACGTTTACGCTTGCGTGACAGTTTCTTGTCTTTTGTGTGTGATAGGTGATGTTTCTCATCACCATTAGATAGTATTGTTGCAATGTTCACCCGAATTCGCTCACACACCACACGCCCGTCAAATTCATCACTTCTATCGATTGTGCACTTGTCGGCAATACTCACCATATCAACTGGTTCATCCCTAACTTCTACACACGCCGGACCCGAATTCATGTGTGTTTCCATTTCCTTGCGTTTGCAAAAACTGTCTCCGCATTTTCCTGGTACGTCTTCGACAGTCACATGACATATACACTCACCTTTACTCTCGTTGTAACTGTCTCCACATAATTCACAGAGAATTATCGACATTTCTGTTTGCTGCATACCCACGTGCTCACTGTTTTCCGCTGTGCCACTAGGTTCTACGTGACTTTCGTGAAGCTTCATATGACTGTTAAATCCTTTGCTATTGGTCAAGCAATATCCACATACAGCACATAGGCGTAGTTGTTCTTCCGCATGAGTTTCCATGTGGGCGTCTAAATCGTAGACGTGAATAAAGCAGTCCCCGCAAACTTCACACAGATATGAGTCTTCATCTATGTGCTTTTTGTTATGCTGCTTGTAGTCAGTTCGTCCCGTGAAACTCTCCCCACACAACTCGCATAAATATAACCGTTCGTGTTTTGTCATGTGTTCTTCAAACCCCGGGAGTCCGCTGACGCTTTTTCCACAGCGCTCGCATAGATAAACCTGTTCACCTTTGTGTGATTTTTCGTGGTTGTTCAGTTCACGTCGCCCCAGAAAACTCTTCTTGCAGTGCGTGTGTGCGTATTTTTTCTTCTTATTCTTGGTTCTGTGGTTGTCTGACTGAATCTTAGCTTCATCGCTGTCCCGATTGCCGGATTCTTTCACAAGTGTTTTCATATGTTCATCCTGCTCAAATGTGAGTTTCAGTTCAGGGGGTCGCTCATTTTGCCGAGGTTTAATGTGTACCACTGGTCTGTGCTTGTGCGTTTTGGTTATTGACCTCTGAACTCGACCACGAAAGGATTTGATGTCTATGTTATGTGCACTGACGTGTATCTTCAGTTGGTCCCATGTGTCATAATGCTTTCCACATTGCTGACAAATGTGTACTTCTTTAGAGTGCATTTTAGAGTGGAAACTTAAATCATCTGCCTTTGCAAACCTCTCTCCACTTTCCCTGCACCAGTATGGGTTTTCTATGTATTTCATGTGGTATCCTAATTGTTTCAAACTTGAGAATCGCTTTCCACATGTTTCACACGCAAATGCTTTTTCAGGTGCGTGTACATTCATGTGGTGGCCCAGTTGGCTAAATGAGGTGAATATCTTAAAACACTTGGTACATTGAGACACGTTTATTTTTGTACGCCAAGGAATTGGTTTTGTTGCTGGAAGAGTCGGTACTCTATTTGGGTTCGCCCCTGTTCGTTTCCCATTTGCATCCATCATGGTTTATCGCATCCCTGCAATAACAATAAATAAATTAATTAATTAACTTCAATGAAATTCAAATTGAGAGAATTTTAATTATAGTACAGTATAAAATATATCTCAACTCTCACAAAAACTTCAGTTAATATACAAGGGGATTCTAATTGGTAAATTTGGTGCTAACACAACACACAATGACGACACATGATCATGTAATTATAGTTACTCTACAAACTTAAATAAGTATAGTTATTTATAAATTGACCAACTTGAAAGAATGAGTGAATTTGCTAGTACTTCATGTGCTGTCCTCAACGGCTATCAAGAGATTGTCCCTTGAAAACTCACGCCTTGATGGCATACACAATACTGTGCACGAAAATTGCCACACTTCACCACGTTATATATTCGTTCTGTCATGTGTGGTTAAAGCGCGGTGGTCGTCGCGCAGCGAGTGTTCGAATTTTTTGTAAATAAACAATGTCTTTTACACGCGTTGTATACGTCGCTACGAGTCCCATATCGAACAGGACGCGGCGCGATGACCACCGCCCTTTAAACTTGGAAAACAAACAGGATAAAACACGTTGTGTTTAATCATAGTCCGATAGAATAGAGTGAACAATCCCGGAAACAACCCGTGTACCAGAGACCCCACCTTCAATGATGCTTAATTTCACGATAGACTTTCACAGGGCATGCTTTTCCTTTGTAACTGATGGTTAATTTGTCTTGTTGAAAAATGAATATTTTCGTAACAGTAACATTTCTACTGCATTCTATCCGTGACATTTCAGGGTTCGTGAAAAGTAGCTTTGTTAATGTATTTTGTAGGTTATAAATATACCTAATTCCAACCATTTGGTTGACTGGGAAAAAAACACGCCCACAGAGGCACACACAGAGTAACCTGCCATGTGTAACAGTATTAAATGTATAATTGTAGAAGATCGTGGAGATGTAAGGAATCAACCGAGATAGCAGAGATATTTATCGGGATATTTATTTGTAGAGACATCGGATAATGGTAATACATGTAGTGATTGAATTTGGTTCCCAGACGTTGGCTTTGCAGCCACGCCTAGAGACACACAGCCCGTGGAACGTCAATTCCCTTCTCATCATGCTTCTCCAGGCTTAAATAATATATTAGAAAATTACGTATAAGTGTTGGAATGTAGAGATTAAAGTAATATTGCGTGGGAAAGTTAACACGTACTGACATACACAATTGAATGCACACCAGATTGGTGACACACGCAATGTATTGATCCTGACTCTAAGGCTCTTCTCTCTCTTCGTCTTCTCTCCGTCCTTATCTTTAAATATTAACTTAGTCGCTAACTATTTATATATACTATAAAGTGCATTGTTTGTCACATGATACCAACAGTACAATGCAATTGGTCAATAGAGATATTTCCCGCGCCCCAAACTTATCCAAATCTTGAAACAATATTATGAAATGTTATAACTGTAAATTTAGTAATACCAAGCAAATGATATTCCCGCGAGAAAGTTACCATTCCATTAGGATGACACACATCTTCGCCAGCCAAGGACCATTTATTCGGCCGAAGCCTCAACATTAACCCTTGGCAGATTCCACTGCGATTTACTGTATGTTGCACGCCCTCAAACGATTATAAGATTCACTTGGGCTCATTTGATTTACCCAATCAGAACTCACGATAGTAACGGCATATAACTAGGTAAAATCGTCACGGTGGCGCGAGCTCGGTTGATATAGAAATCAACGTGTTGCTAATCTTACTTAGTGCTGTTACAGCAACGCTGATTGGTAGCGCCAGCTTCTTTGCGCGCCCAATCAAATGACTCAATTTAACTGCTGTGAAATACAGCTTTTCCTAACACGATCACGCACGGGTTCATGGGCCGGTTATGAATTGCCGGCTTTAGCGATACCGTGCAATACCGTGCGATACCGTGCGATTCGGACGTTGGGTGACACACAAAGAAATGGTTACACAATTTTAAATTAAATAATATAATGCACAACTTGTTTTCTTCACAAACCAGTGAATTTAAAACATAACAATTTATAAAATTAAAAACAATGAACATTTTTACTTTTTACTTTATTTTTGTTTGCCAATGAAAAGCGAGACGTACTTCCCGTTATTCGCAACCACTTGGAAAATGACGTCATTGCACAGATATGATTCAGTCGCGGAACGAGAGTCATGAATCTTTTTTTATCCCCTGACTTTTTTAAACCCCTAATCAATGCAAAAGTACTGTAAAACACGTCTTTTTAGCTAGCTTGTCATTTTAGCTAATGTAGCTAACCTGTAATTTCGCTAATTCTAGATGTCGCTAATTTAGAATAAAGTATATTATCACAATGAGATTTTTGGCATTTTAGCTAAATTAAAATTTTGTTAATTTATGTATTGAGTCAAATTCGCTAAACTGGCATGCAGCTACTTCAATGTGTTTACAGTAGATATGATCACAGCAACTCCAAATACTTCCGTTGACATAATAACAATAATAATCTACGGTCAATGAACGATGACATAGTGGGTGATTAATGATTTTGTTATCTGCATATCACCTTTCGGCAATGCACTCGCTCGCATTCCATATATCAATCTACCTAACAAATGACCACAAGTGGTCTTTGCCGAACACAGCGCATTGGTCGCACTTCAATGAGCTCACGTATATATCTGATTGGAACAATTCTTCCCGTCAACAGTTACGAATAAATAACTGGCTAAACATATAAAAGAGGTGTTATCTGATGATGAAAGCACAACGTGCATTAGGTATTCTTAGGAAAACTATCACTTTACATAACCAAACTCTTTCTATTAGTAATGCTTTACAGCTTTTCAAAAGTACAGTCTTACCGATTTTAATGTATGGCTCAGAAATTTGGGGGGCTTTTATCTTCAAAATTTACAAATCTAAACAGGATGATCAAATTGATACAGAAAAATTTGTTAATAATCTCTTTAATGACAGATCACAATTTGAGCAACTTCACATTAAGTTCTGTAAGAGTGTATTAGGAGTGCACAGGCGTTCAAGTAATATTGCTTCTAGAGCTGAACTTGGAAGTTATCCTGTCATTACTGAAATATGTGCACAATTAATTAAATACAAGAAAAGACGGACTGAATTTTGAAAGCATTTTCCTGAGGCTGAAATTTGAAATGTTTTGCAAATAATTTTCCATATCATAACTTACTTTGAATAATTTGTATGTTCTCAGTTTTGTTGTCCTATTTACATTGCTTTCAGTTTTTTAGTTCTTCTCTCCATCTTTGAATATAATTCTCAGATAGTTTTCCTTTTTTTTAGTATTTGATCCCAATTTTTCATATTGTGATCATTTTTTTATTTTAATTAGATCATGTCCCAGTGTAACTTTAATATTTCTAACCCAGTTTGAATTATTTATTACATTTCACCCAGGGCTAATTTTAAAATGTGATTTTCTGCCAGTATTTAATTTGAGCAAAAATAATTTTTAATATCATTGGTAATCCACCAAGTTCTGCTTTCAAACCATTGATTGGCGTCATTTTACTCACTCCTGTAAAAATGACTGCAAACTTGCTCTAAACTGTTACTGTCAGTTGTGATTTCATTGGCCCAGATTTCAGCACCATACATGAATATAGGTAAAATTAACTGGTCAAAATTTTCAAATTAAGTGCTGGTAAGATTATTTTGTGGTTTAAGACTGTTTGTCTGATGCTGAAAAGAGCCTTCATTGATATATATTTCAACATAGATAAGTTTGTTTTAAATTTTTCCATTTAGAGTAAATATTGACCCTAAATAGCAATACTCACTAATAGCTGTTATGTCTTGGTTGTTGATTTTAAAATTCTTGTTTTTAATCAGTCTGTTACTGCAATTAAATGCCATAACTTTAGTTTTCTTTACGTTTACTTCTAAATTCCAATTTATACAATAGTCATTTAATTTGTTCAGACAGCTTTGTAGGCTGTCTTTCGTCTCTGAAATAAGGTCATCTACATATTGGATAATATTTGAAGGTTTCTCGCCCACTAAAGATGGTTTGTCAATTTGATCCCCAAATAATTCTTACAGATCGTTCAGAACAATGTTAAATAAACCCAAATGATAACATGTTATGAGCGAGCGCTGAATGACCTCGCCTAGCCTTTCACCGCAAACCAATCACCAAGTCATAATCAGTGAGTTTCATCGTAATTGCCAAAATGCGGACCGATATCCAGACACATGGAAATATAATCATGACATAACTACAAAGTGTATGATGTGTGTGGCCGCCATCCCATGCATCCGGGTACTATTTCTATAAACTGTAATTTTGAGCCATTTTCAGTTTGTGGCGAAATGTCAATATTAATCATAATGGATGTGTCCAAAACATTCACAACGTTATATTCTTTATCATCAGTCCAAGGAGCTCATCGTTTAGATATCATCATGGGTATTATAACGTCGCTATACTGTGTCTGATCCGGCTTAAGTTTAAGACTAAATAATGTAAACAATATTTTGACTGACACATTTCGTCTCAAATTACGCACATTCACATAGATGCCAGGCGGGTGAAAACATCATGTACGACACCTTTCAAACGCACACACTACCTTGGACATCTGATCATAAAGCTCTTTTTAGCTCCAAAATCTGATGTAACGGAAATATTGAACAGTGGCTGCTAGCAGGTCGATCAAAACACAGTTACTGAAAAAGGGTAGCGCAACCATGTAACCGAGTTGAACTCAATCTCTTCAAAAGAAAGTTGAGATTAAAAATCGGTTCTAGTCTACTCAGAATCCTTACCGGATTCATAATTCAAAGCAATTGACGTTACGTTACGCTACGTGCACTGTTGGCCCGCTCAAGACGTCGCCGTTATAGTACCGCATAGATAAAATACCAAGATATCTTACCGTTTGAAAGAAATCTTTTCCACGTTTCGCTGCAGCTGATCACGCAGATAACATTTTACTGGTCGAATCGTTTCCGACGCCTGTCTTTTATTGTTATCCTGTGAATCAATCAACGACAAAACAACTTATCCCGTAAACTACGTCAACAAACAGATATTCCGGCGTCACAGTCTATTGTCATCCAGCTTAATTGTCTCACAACTTTTACAACTGTGTCGTTTATTTTTGTAACTGGAACATTGTCGGAATACGTGATTTATTGCCACATTGACGCCGATTCGTTGAATTAAATCGTTCCTATGATTTACGATCAAATGTGTTAATTCGCGTATGAAAAGGACAGTCGATTTGATCAATACCATTTGATTGATTTTTACCATTACGTGTGTCTTTTGTACAAATAGAAATGGCTATTACAACCTGTAAGAAAAACTTGCTCAGTTGCTACATTACACGTGGTAAGGATGGTTGTCGTCCCGAAGCATCGTATTCCAATACACGGCAATAAAACGTACAGATCATATGAATAAGACCATCCTGATACTTCAGTCCGGATCTGTAGAAAACTCTATTCACTGACATTCGTCAGCCAATGTGAATGCTCCTCAAAAGCGCTTATGCGTATCCACAAATATTGTTAACACACGACGTCCACGGAGCAACACGAAACATTTCTGCTAGTGCATTATACAATTAAAAGATTATAATACACTTTCTCGTATAAAGCTAGAAATTGGTTACTTGTATTGACTTCTATTCCGAGTCGATTCAGGGTTGTGAAAACAAGTTAACACTACAGAGTTTTGTTACGCTAATTTTTTTGTAGGTAAGTCAGATAAGTTACGGTGAGGGAGTACAGTTGGATTTCCGGCGATTCGAACGTTGAAACTTGTATCCAAAGAATACAACGACCCTCAATAGAACAAGCCATGCATGGCACAGTCCCCGTTAGTTATCGAATTTTAGATATACAGTTTTGTTTATAGTAATATAGCTGGAATATAACCATGTCAGGAATATGAATATGATGATTGTTTAACATTAAAATGATTGACATTTGTATCTGATCGTCAAAAAAGTACTTGTCCATATTGAGAAATATTGCTCTGGAACAGCATTAATTAAAACAAAATCAGCCATTTTGAATACATGTATATATCTATAATATGATGTATAACAAATATATCAAAGCATGTGGCTCTAGAAGCCCAATCATTGAAACAAAATGGCCACCCGTCAGTCATTTTGAATCCGATTTGAAAAATAAAACAGCGTGCACCAGGAACCCGTAATGTTTAATGGATGTTATAAGTTTGAACAAAACCAATCCACAAATGCAAGAAATGCATGATACTTGATGATTTTTTAGCACAAAAATGGCCACCATTCGGTAAATTTTTAATAGGATCGTCAAACAAATATATGTGTATATCTATGGCATGATATATTAATAAATATTAAAGATATGAACATAATCAGTCAAAACAAGTCAGAAATATGGGTCTAGAAGCCCATTCATTAAAACAAAATGGCCGCCAGTCAGCCATTTTGAATCCAATCTGAAAAATAAAATAACGTGCAACAGGAACCCGTAATGTCTAATGTATGAAACCAAGTTTGAACGAAATCCATCCATAAATGCCAGATATGCTTGATATTTGATGATTTTTTTAGCACAAAAATGGCCACCATTCGGTAAATTTTTAATAGGATCGTCAAACAAATATATCTGTATATCTATGGCATGATATATTAATAAATATTAAAGATATGAACATAATCAGTCAAAACAAGTCAGAAATATGGGTCTAGAAACCCATTCATTAAAACAAAATGGCCGCCAGTCAGCCATTTTGAATCCAATCTGAAAAATAAAATAACGTGCAACAGGAACCCGTAATGTCTAATGTATGAACCAAGTTTGAACTAAATCCATCCATCCATAAATGCCAGATATGCTTGATATTTGATGATTCTTTAGCACAAAAATGGCCACCATTCGGCCATTTTGAATAGGATCGTGAAATAAATTGATGTGCATATGTATAATATCGTGTACGATGCATGTGTGAAGTTTGATTATGATTGGTCCAGGCATTTCTAAGATACAGGTCCGGACGCACGCACACACGCACACGCGCACGCACGGAATCAAGGATGCACGAACGCACAAGGGCCAAAACATAAATCCCCGTTTTCGGACTGCATCCGAACGGGGACTAATAGAATTCAGCAGATATAAAGTTTTAAAAAGAGGAACATGAATGCGTGTATGTTGCAGAACATACTGAAAAGTGTACAGTGTAGTTTATTAGGAAATTTATGTTAAACATAACAATGCATTAAACTAATAAGTTTCTTCCAGGACAATATTACCCTGATACAACCGTGAGTATTAAACTATTAATCACAGTTGTGCAAAGTGGCTGCTAGAGCAACAGTTACGAATAAATAACTGGCTAATACAAAAGGCGTTATCTGGTGATGAAAGCACAACGTGCATTAGGTATTCTTAGGCAAACTATCACTTTACATAACCAAACTCTTTCTATTAGTAATGCTTTACAGCTTTTCAAAAGTACGGTCTTACCGATTTTAATGTATGGCTCAGAAATTTGGGAGGCTTTTACCTTCAAAAATTACAAATCTAAACAGGATGACCAAATTGATACAGAAAGATTTGTTAATAATCTCTTTAATGACAGATCACAATTTGAGCAACTTAACATTAAGTTCTGTAAGAGTATATTAGGAGTGCACAGGCGTTCAAGTAATAGTGCTTCTAGAGCTGAACTTGGATGTTATCCTGTCTTTACTGAAATATGTGCACAATTAATTAAATACAAGAAAAGACGGACTGAATTTTGAAAGCATTTTCCTGAGGCTGAAATTTGAAATGTTTTGCAAATAATTTTCCATATCATAACTTACTTTGAATAATTTGTATGTTCTCAGTTTTGTTGTCCTATTTACATTGCTTTCAGTTTTTTAGTTCTTCTCTCCATCTTTGAATATAATTCTCAGATAGTTTTCCTTTTTTTTTAGTATTTCATCCCAATTTTTCATATTGTGATCATTTTTTATTTTAATTAGATCATGTCCCAGTGTAACTTTAATATTCCTAACCCAGTTTGAATTATTTATTACATTTCATCCAGGGCTAATTTTAAAATGTGATTTTCTGCCAGTATTTAATTTGAGCAAAAATAATTTTTAATATCATTGGTAATCCACCAAGTTCTGCTTTCAAACCATTGATTGGCGTCATTTTACTCACTCCTGTAAAAATGACTGCAAACTTGCTCTAAACTGTTACTGTCAGTTGTGATTTCATTGGCCCAGATTTCAGCACCATACATGAGTATAGGTGAAATTAACTGGTCAAAATTTTCAAATTAAGTGCTGGTAAGATTATTTTGTGGTTTAAGACTGTCTGATGCTGAAAAGAGCCTTCATTGATTTATATTTCAACATAGATAAGTTTGTTTTAAATTTGCCCATTTAGAGTAAATATTGCCCCTAAATAGAAAAACTCACTAACAGCTGTTATGTCTTGGTTGTTGATTTTAAAATTCATGTTTTTAATCAGTCTGTTACTGCAATTAAATGCCATAACTTTAGTTTTCTTTACGTTTACTTCTAAATTCCAATTTATACAATAGTCATTTAATTTGTTCAGACAGCTTTGTAGGCTGTCTTTCGTCTCTGAAATAAGGTCATCTACATATTGGATAATATTTGAAGGTTTCTCTCCCACTAAAAATGGTTTGTCAATTTGATCCCCAAATAAGTCTTACAGATCGTTCAGAACAATGTTAAATAAACCCAAATGATAACATGTTATGAGCGAGCGCTGAATGACCTCGCCTAGCCTTTCACCGCAAACCAATCACCAAGTCATAATCAGTGAGTTTCATCGTAATTGCCAAAATGCGGACCGATATCCAGACACATGGAAATATAATCATGACATAACTACAAAGTGTATGATGTGTGTGGCCGCCATCCCATGCATCCGGGTACTATTTCTATAAACTGTATTTTTGGGCCATTTTCGGACATTTTCAGTTTGTGGCGAAATGTCAATATTAATCATAATGGATGTGTCCAAAACATTCACAACGTTATATTATTTATCATCAGTCCAAGGAGCTCATCGTTTAGATATCATCATGGGTATTATAACGTCGCTATACTGTGTCCGATCCGGCTTAAAAATCGGTTCTAGTCTAGTCAGAATCCTTACCGGATTCATAATTCAAAGCAATTGACGTTACGTTACGCTACGTGCACTGTTGGCCCGCTCAAGACGTTGCCGTTATAGTACCGCATAGATAAAATACCATGATATCTTACCGTTTGAAAGAAATCTTTTCCACGTTTTCGATGCAGCTGATCACGCAGATAAAAATTTACTGGTCGAATCGTTGCCGACGCCTGTCTTTTATTGTTATCCTGTGAATCAATCAACGACAAAACAACTTATCCCGTAAACTACGTCAACAAACAGATATTCCGGCGTCACAGTCTATTGTCATCCAGCTTAATTGTCTCACAACTTTTACAACTATGTCGTTTTTTTTTGTAACTGGAACATTGTCGGAATACGTGATTTATTGCCACATTGACGCCGATTCGTTGAATTAAATCGTTCCTATGATTTACGATCAAATGTGTTAATTCGCGTATGAAAAGGACAGTCGATTTGCTCAATACCATTTGATTGATTTTTACCATTACGTGTGTCTTTTGTACAAATAGAAATGGCTATTACAACCTGTAAGAAAAACTTGCTCAGTTGTTACAGTATTATTAATCATAGTTGTGCAAAGTGACTGCTAGGGCAACTGTTCTAGTCTTGTGCTGAAAATGACAAGTATACCAGCTGTGAAAATTAGGCAGGCATGCGGATAAATAAATGTAAACACCCACCGTTCATTAATTTTGAAATTTGACAGCGTATTCGGAATTAACAGACTCATATAACATCTCGGACAACTAATAAATAGACTGGCAACGCGGCGTTTTCTATTGAAGTAATGCTC